TGGAGACGGATTGTGTTTCCTGTGAGGTACGGACTTCAAGATACTAAAACTCTGCATTCTGCCCACACAGTGTATTTATGTGTTCCGTATGGTTCTCACAGTAAACAGCATTAACCGGTTGGGCGTTGTTATGGAGACGGAGTGTGTTCCCGTGTGGAGGCGGGGTCGGATATCTTCACCGTAGCCCTGCGAGCCGTAGGTGGCGACGAAAGGGGAACCCGTTGCCTGGGGGTATAACTGGGTCACCCTCCTCTCGGGGGATCGCGGACCTGGCTCTTCGGGTTGGGGGAGTCTCGAATCTGAGAGAGTAAAATGTGGTCATGAGTACCGCGGGACTCGGACCTGAGAATAACTGCGCTGGCGAGGACCAGCAGCATTTGTAAATGACAGGCCCGTCCTCCTGTCAGAGAGAGCACCCCACATCAACAAATCCGCAACTGCCTGACAGTAATGAAAGTCTGCCCGTAAGCCCCAGATGTGTGCTTCATTCCAAGACAGACGGGCGACTGACCGTCCGTCGTAACAAGAGACTCAGACTCAGACTTGAATCTTTAAAGTGTTAAGAATAATTAATAATATGTCCTTTAGCACATGTTTGAGGCATTTTCGCTAAGTAAGAGTAGGCATGGTGTCTCCCGTAGCGAGGTTGCCAGACACATCCGCTGCTACGTCTGGTCTCACCACACAATAAAGCCTTCACATTTCTGTCTACGCAAGGCACATACAATAAGTGTCGTACTAACAGTATTTCTCACCATTCATGAGAAGATGACGTGCCGGGTGGGGAGTGACGAGGTATAGATACGACGACACAGTTAATTGATCGCAAGGTCACGTGGTGGGGGTGGGGGTCCCTGTAATTAGTCCTCGAAACAAAACAAAAACATATCAGAACCACACACAAATTCGGAGCGAAGGAAACATATTCTCATAAGGCGGACATGCGCATTGACAATTTCTGCAATTTTTTCATGCCTCTATGACGATTGAGACATGTGGTAGAACGGAGAAATACATACAAAATTCTGGTAGGGAACCCTGAAGGAAAGAGGCTACTTGGAGGACCTACACGTAGATGGGAGGATAATATTAAAATTGATTTTAAAGATTATAGGAGGGAAAAGTTTGGAGTGGACTTAACTTGCTTAGAATGTGGTCCAGTATCGTGATTTTGTGAGCTCGGTAACGAACCTTCGGTTTCCATAAGACGAAGAGGATTTCTTGAGCAGCTAAGCGATTATCAGCTTTATAAGAAGGCCCATGTCCTTAGCGTCAGTTCTTTATGTAGCGTGCAGCAGGAGGATGTTGGTGGACGTTGACGCGGAAAGAATGTCGAAGGAAGAGCCCATGCCTATTTAAGGGTGGGCCTATTCCAGGATTTGCTTGAGGAGGCCGAGGAAAACCACGCATAATCTCAGACAGAACGTCGAGTCTCCAGGCTGGAATACAAACCTGAGCTCCACCACGCATGTCAGCTTGACGTAGGGCCTCATCTCCACGTCGGAGAGCTTTCAGAAGAGGACATCTGCGCCTCGTACTGTGAGGCGTCGGCCTAAGTATAGGTGACGGGCCGACAGACCGCGCCTCGCGTTGACCCCAGCCCAGTGCCCTTGAGAGAGGACTCAAACCCACGCGTCTTCAGGTTGCCCGCTGACGGGCTGCCTTGGAATGTTCATATGCCTCGGTCCTCTCTCTCGAACAAAATATGCAAAAACGGTGAAGGGATCAGTAAGCACGTCGGAATGTTTCGCTTCCTAAATTACACAACAGATGTCGCCCAAATCTGCTGTTAGAAGCCGCAATTGAAAATTATTTGACAAACGCCATTCTGAGCCATACTGATTCGATATAAACCCTGCCGTCCTGCAGCAAAATCCTACTTGTAAAGCTTATAGTCGCTCAGCTACTGATGGAATTCCCTGTCATTTATGGAACCCGAAGGATCATTATTACCCTGTGGACGCGGGTTCGAATACCTCCACCGTCACCCCGGGAGTCGTAGGAGGCGACGAAAAGGGAACCCGGTGCCTGGGGGTGTAACTGGGCCACCCTGTCACTGGGAGACATTTGGACCTGGTCCTCCAGGTAGGGGGGTTGGAGGCAGCGCTGACGACTTTGCTCTGTAAAAAAAATTGTCACGAAATCCAAAGAAATGAAAACCGGGTGCAATCTGCAGACTCTACGAATGAAGAGAGGCCAGTGTTTTGCTGATGATGATAAAGGTTCGTTACAGTATTCGCAAAAACACTCCATCCAACCACATCCTGAGTCAGGCAGATCTAGTTCGTATATTCAAGGCCCGCTTTAATATTATACAACTAGATACGCGTGCGTGCACGGTTTCAATCGTCGACTTGTTTCCTGGAATCCGCTGTGTGTCTCACCGCAAGGGAATGAAGGCGTGTACAAGCAGCCCACTGTTGCATTGAGGCAATGCGAGATTGCAGCACAACATGGCGTGAGTTGGTATCTTGGTTCGTGTGTAGTTGGTCGTAGCATCGAGTCCTACTGAAGCAGAACTGCTCCTACTGCTTGGCTGTTGGAAAGGGGATAGAGCGACTTCACTCCGCAAGTCACAAACGCAATTCACCCGTTTGCGTTTTCTTTTGTTTCTTCCATGACGTACTCAGTTGTCGCATCTTAATGCAAAAATTCAGACATGGCCTTAGAAGTACGAGAACTCAAACCCGTGCGAATTTAACCCAGAAAGACGTAAACGAGAACAGTTCGCATGACACGACACAACAATTGCAGTTAATATAAATACACACTTGCGACTGAAACAAAGGGCTGTGATACCAAACCCCATTGTTCATATCGTGACGTCAGGGCTCCATTGTAAGCTGGACACGCACAGTAACAGAGATCTAGTGTTACAGACGCAGAGAGTCAGCAATATTTAATGATTAATTTCGTAGGCGCCTTATAGAACTCTTTCATTCTCAAGATTAATTTGTTCGCAAATCGAGTAAATATATTTCACTGCATTGTGCTGCCATCTACGGAGAAATGTTGTCGGCTCAACACTGGGGTCGTGTGTTTGAATTCCACTCAAGGCATGGACGTATATCTGCGTTTCACCTATGTTTATATTTCCCTGGGTGTAGGGAGCTGCCTTGCGACAGGACTGATCACCCATCCAAGGAGTCCTACCAACTGCCTATAAAATCCATAGTTCCAGATTAATTCTGGTGGGGACAGGCCAGAGAAGATGATTTTGCCTTAAAATAACTTGAGTTGTTTCGCTGCGTTGTGGCGAAGAGTCGAAACACAGCTAATTTCATGGCGAATTTAAAGTGTCGAACCACGAAACAAGGTTACTACGTGAAGCTGGACACGTTAGCACCTCACACAGACGCGATTGCTCTGGTAATGAGGTGAGGCTCTGGTATTGAGGTGAGGCGGCACTTTCGTGTTTCCGAAATTCATCACAGCCAGTTCATGTGGCGACAGAGCGAGATGCCGTTGGTACCATATCGCCCCGTAAGTGTTCACGTGTTTTGCGGGGTTCCGAGTCAATGGCCGCTGCACTCAGCAGGGGAGTCCAACACGAGGGCTCGATGCGACCCGAACCAACTAGGAACCATTGCCTTAATTACTAGTTTACAGCCACGTACAAACGCTGGTTCCTGGCTCGCGGATTTTTATACCCTGAAGATGGAGACGATATGTTCCTCCGAAACGTCTGTCTACACAGTATCTACACGGGGCCACATCCCAGAAGACGTTTTTTTTCTTTATCATCATTTACATTTTAGTCTGTTCGAGAAACTATTTTCTAGATATTATCATCAGAATAATTATAAAATCATTATCGTAATCAACATATTGCGCCTCTTCGTCTCCTCCACATCTCCACTCCCTCCTTGTCTGTGTCTTTCCGTGAGGAACGCCCTGGGCAAGAGGTCGAAACACGTGTCCAAAGTATTTCCTCGAGAAATGGGACTGAACTGGCTCACTCTGCAACCAGCTAAGTGCTGGATCAGAGATAAAACTCCCAGCTTAAAGACCGAGGATGTGGTAATCAGCTGCGTGTCAGGGCTACCGCGCATCTCAGCATGGGACAATGGTGGAACAATATTTATCGAGGGAAAACCGAAAGGAGCCCGGAGACGTGGGATCTAGTACCAGTTCACTCACTACGAAACTCACATGAAGCAGTTAGGTACTAAACTCGAGGCTCCAGGTTCAGAAACCGCTCACCCCCAAAAGAGCCTCATTTCTTTTTAGAGCTGGTGGAGTTTTTCAATTGACCTAATCCTTCCAGCCGCACT